GCCCCGCCCCGCCGCTGATGTAACTCGGCTCCACGTTGCAGCACAAAATCCAGCTGCAGCGCCGGGGCCGTTTTCAGCCTCTCCCCGACCTGCCCAGGCAGCCCTACCCGCGGCACAGCCTGCCCTGACCCGCGCTCGCCCCGGCCCCAGCTCTGCAGGCTCGGGGGGCAGCAGGTGCAAAGCACCTGTAGCTGAGCGTTGGAAAGTGCCTTCACCTCCTCGGGCCCTTCCCCACCACGCGCAAACCCTTCCCAAGGGCAGGAGTGCTCCCGCGCCCCATCTGCGTCCAGACCTAAGTGAAGAGAATCAGGGAATCATTTAATCACATAGCGTCGCTGAAGGTAGACCAGATCGCTGATTTTCTTGCCCATTATTGATTCCACCGGTGGGCCTGACATTACGTGGAGCAGATTTTTCCATCATGTAAAGAATTTAAGATAAATCCTTTGCTAAAACATACACTGTGATCCAACAGCTTCACGAACGGCAGAGCAGATGTCCTTCAGCTGTGTGATGCAGTGGGGCCGAGCAGGCAATCGCACCCAGCACACATTCACCTACTGAAGCCGCGAGCTTCTGCCTCATAACACACCTACAAATTCTAGCTCAGAGCACTGATTTTGTTTCCTTTAGGACTGTTGACAACTCTCTGATGTGCCACCTAGAATTCCAGTGTCTGTCATTATCAGCCCAGTTGCTATCTGGAGCCACAGGAGAATGTTTCTTATCCAAGAAAACCCGTATTTGGACCTGTTTCCTCAAGGGGGGGGGGGGGGGGGGAAGTGCTCAAGGAGGAAGCCGCCCTGACAAACAAGTGGAATTCAACTGTATTTAGTGTGACTCTGCTTTGTGCAACACTAGTGCTCACTGAAGTGATTAAAACATGAAAAGGTCAACTGAAGATGTACTTGAAAAGAGCTAGGAAAGTCAGAATCCAAAGCTGTCCGGTGCCGGGGTCATGGAACGGGGACAGGTGTCGGGCAGACGTGGCTGCTCACAACACACCAGTTCAGGCTGCCCGGGAGGGCTCCTGTATCTTACACCTTCACTTAGTTCCCTGCAGAAAAATCAGGTGCTTCTCCAGCAGGAAGACAGCTGAGTGCAGCTCCAGCTGCTTGGAGGGAACTGTGCTCCTCTCGCCACCCTCCTTGGCTCCGAAAGCACTCGGTTCCTGGGAACATCGAACATGCTTTTTAACGTTCCTCCTCGTTCCTCATTAAGGCAACGTCTCCTGGTCCCTCCATCGCTTGTGTTTCACTGCGGCGAGGTTTGTGGATGGCACTCAGAGAACAGGGGCATGAGACGACACAGGGCAGGAGCCGGTTCCTGTGGCTCCATCCGAGAACCAAAGGCACAGTGGTATCACGGGCACAGGGTAAGAACCTGAGGAGGAAAGTCCATGATCTGGACCACGTTCCAAATGTGTCACTGAACCTCAAGCACAGGCCCTGTCTGTTTGCCTTTTCAAAAGCAGAGAATACTAGACAGGAGTAGGATCAACAGCAAGCAGGCAGCCAGATCAGCTCTGTAACTGCTGTCCAAATTCAGCGCCACCTTGAAGGGGAAGAAGATGTCAAATGGGAGTTTCCAGTGCCTCTGGGGCTGGCCTCGCGGCGGTTCTGGCCACACTGTCATGTCCGCGAATGTGACGACGGTTGTCAAAGGAACGGGGCCCACACTCGGGAGCTGGAACAAGGAAAGCACAGAGCTCAGGAAGCTGAACACAGAAGATACATCTCTCTGGCTGCTAACCGAGACCCTCTGCAGGTGGCTGCCAGGCAACAGCCTCTAGGAATGTGGGAGTTCAGTCTTCCAGGTATACTTTTTTAGTGGAGTAACTGCTCTTTCCCAAAATCGATACTCTGCAGGTAACTCCAGGGCACAGGTCTCAGGAGAGATGAGCAGCTCCTGTGCATCACATGCAGGAGATCTCCAGGGCAGAAGCAGTGACTCCAGCTCTGCTCAGGTAAGCCCTCTACTCAGAGGAAAGGCAAAGCAGGTGGTGGGTAACAATATCCCTGGATGTCTTCAAGGCCAGACTGGATGTGGCTTTGAGCAACCTGGTCTAGTGCAAGGTGTCCCTGCCCATGGCAGGGGGGTTGGAACTAGATGATCTTTAGGGTCCCTTCCAACCTAAACCATTCTATGATTCTATGAATAACAGAGCCAAGATTGGATTTTTATAAAACGCTGTATTTCATGTAAGACAAGATCACCTGCCCCTTTGACCAGGTGACTGCTGCCAGAACCAGTCTGCCAGGACTGCCACCACACCATCCTTCTGATAAAATACCAGTGAAATGAAGCAGGGACCCAACACCACTCATTAATGTCTCCCATTTCAGGGTGTTGTTTCAGAGAGGGGACACACTGGCAGGTCCAGTTGCTTTGCTCTACCATGTGCTTTGCCATCTACCTCACAGTGCTACAGTCGTTAGCATCAGTCACTCAAGCAGATGAAGTCTGAATCTCGCCATTCCGGATTGGCTAATCCTTACCGAGGGGCATGCTCCCTGCGCCTTTACTAGGAACACAAGTCTCCCTACTCAGACAGAAGTTGATAACAGAGCCGTGTTGCAGCTCAGATTGAGAAAATCTCTTTGTTGGGCAGAAGCATCAGTTTGCTTCAGGGCAACATGTTCTACAGGTGAACATTGTCCTGTCACATTCTTTTCACATGTGTTTCAAGGAGGGAGGATGAAGAGGTACCATGAGACACAGCCAAACGCATGATGTAAGATCTCATTTAGGCTGGGTGTAGAGTTCAAAGAGTAGTAACAGATCAGACAGACACTGGCCATGTCAGACCTCACTGCCACAAGAATGTCATGGGCAGGGGTCAGCTGCTCCCCCAAAGTCCCCCACTAAAGACTTGGTGATGTCAGGAATTCAGCCTTGCACCAGAATGGGATCCACTGGCACACGCCTGAACTCATTCCCCTTTGTGGACTGTTAGCTCCACGCTCTGCTGACATCCCAAAATCACAGAATGGTTTGGGTTGGAAGGGACTTGTAAAGGACAGCTAGTCCAACACCCCTGCCATAAGCAGGGACACCTTCCGCTCGAACAGGTTACTCGGAGCCCCATCCAACCTGACCTTGACTGTTTCCTTCACATATCTCCTCTTAGAAACCTTTCCAGCTTACAGCCTTTCCCCCCAGCTCTTCACACCTGCTGCCAGCAGCCTCTTCCTCAGCTGATTTCAGAGCCCCTAGAGCCATGGGAGTATCTTCTTACCCAGGTTGGGAGCATGCTGGAGTCTGTGAAATATGGACCAGCTCAAGTTCCATATCAAAGCTTTGAGAGCCTACATAAACGTGGTTATTGAACGTTTGTAACTGCAACTTTACAGCCAGCATAATTTAAAGTTTAAAGTTTGCATCCTTAAGGGGCAGAAGGTGGTTTGAGGTTGGAAAGAAGGGACCTTTTCTAGTTGCACAACTGACTGAGGACAGTACTAACAGGACCAAAGAGCCACCTTCCTCTACGGAGCTGTAACACAAACTTGCCAGTGCAGCGAGACGACTGCTGAAGCTCAGCACATCTCAGCTCAGTAGTGCCAGGAGCATTTGATTCCTTGGTTCTTAAACAACCTGTGAATCCTATTTAATTACCTCTGTGTGTGAGGGAGGGGTTTAAATTCCATACCTTCAGGGGGTGACACTGATAGAAGTACCGTGCACCCAGTATCTGAGCTTGTGGGTTGGAGAGGAGGCCCAGCTTCGTCCAAACTATCTGGATCTCCAGCGTCACAGGAACCACGCAACAGGAAGTGCAGTTCACAGCCTGAAAGTAAAATATACCCCAAACACCTTAATACAGTATTTTAAACATGAAAAAGGACCGTTATGGTCACAGCCTAGTGTTGTGGAGAGCATAGGTCACAGAACCCGAACGAGTCACTTGAGCACGAGCCCCGTAACTCCTGGTCAGGTTAACCTCCCCTTTTAGAGCTCTATCCAGCTCACCGTCATCATTTCCAAGAGAATTTGTCTCAGCTCTACCACCTGGATTTTTCATTCTATTAGGCCATCTCTTGACAGATTCTTAATTATTAAAATAGAATTTCCTCCTCCATTAGTACTTGGATCAAACCTTTACCCCTATTCGGTAATATATAAATATCCCTAAAAGCTAGAAAATCAGAAAGGATGATAGTACTAAAAGCATCAAATTAATAGGAAGTAAGGAGGTAGTATGAGTTCCAGAGGGCTATAGAAGGCTGGCAGAAAACCAGGTAATACAACACTGCATTCAATATTAAACTTTTTTTGGTACACTTAAATAGCAGGAACGGGATTCGAGAGCTATTCCATCTGACAGGCTGTACTCAGTATCCTCATAACCTGAAGCACAGTGAGAATGACAGCTTACAGGCACCGAGACCCCTGAGAGTCAGTGGGTCATCACACACACAAAGCCCAGATGAACAAGCTGGTTCTTTTTCCCATGCCCGTGCTTGTCCAGGGCAACACAGGTATCAAAGGCACACCACCTGCCCACTGCAGTCCTGCACCAGAATGTCCATCCACTCTTCTGCCTGGTCTGAACGAGCACTGCCGGTTGCAGCAAGGGCCTCTGCTCTCTTCACCCCCTGAAGAGCCTTGTATAACTTCTGCTGGATGTAGCTGCAGTTACTTCTGCCCAGTACTGGGGATAGGCTGGAAATAAGAACACAACAGCTTTGACAAAGTGATTTCCAGGACAGAAAAAGCAGCTATCCCTGCCCATGGCAGGGGGTGGGACTAGACGGTCTTTAAGGTCCCTTCCCACCCAAACCATTCCATGATTCTGTGATTCTTTTGCTCTTGAATGAATCATTATGGAATTACTGGTATTAAATGAATGCAGTTTCAATCCCCTCTGCAACGAGAAGGAAGAGGAACGTGGCAGGGTAACGCATGACAAGGAAAACTGGCAGCTCTTCAGCCATCTTATCACATCCGTGGTCACAGACCCACCTGCCACCAACAAAAGAAGGATCCCGTCTTCAAGACAATCACTTCCTAAGGTTCTGTTATAACTCACTCCTAAAATACAAACCCTACTCTTGCCCAAGATATTTTCCCAGACTACAGCCTCAATGGCTCAGACAACCTTGACAACATCCAGGTTGTGCAGGAGGCCCACCACCTCTCTGAAATGCAAGCCCTCTTAGAGCATATGAAAGTGCTCTCCACTCTCTCTTGGAGTCGAGACCCACTGGCAACCTGGGGAAGTCCTGGGCTCCACAGCAGCAGGTGAGACTATGGAAAAACATGCTCAGTCCAGACCTTGCGAATGTGTCAGGAAGGGTGAGTGCGGAGTGTGATGTTACCTGAGCCTGCAGCCTGTCCTCATATTTCTTCCAAATTGTACTGTGTGTCTGAGGAACTGTGAGCAAGTTCCATCACCTTCGCTCCGTAAAATGCTCAGCTGAGAGACTGCATGTCAAGAAGTCAAACAAAACTATAAACAGACAGTATAGGGCACCCAACATGTATTTAACAATCCCCTCACCCGACATCCCTTCTCATCCTCATCACAGACTACAGTGCAGTCGTGACCAAAAGGCCTGCTGACGGTTGCGATGGAATGCTGACATATGCAGGTGATGGCAGAACCTCAAAAGTCACAGAATGACGGAATCTTTTAGGTTGGAAAAGACCTTTAAGATCACCCAGTCCAACCGTTACCCCAGCACTGCCCAGCCCCCACTAACCATGTCCCTGAGCACCTCGTCCACACGGCTCTGAAACCCCTCCCGGGATGGGGACTGCCCCCTCCCTGGGCAGTCCCTTCCAACCCTGACAGCCCTTTCCGGAAAGAATTTCCCTAATATCCAGTCTAAACATCCCCTGGCACAACCTGAGGCTGTTCCCTCTTGTCCCATCGCTTGTCCCTTGGGAGAAGAGACCGACCCCCCCCTCTGCACCCCCCTTTCAGGGAGTTGTAGGGAGCGATAAGGTCTCCCCTGAGCCTCCTCTTCTCCAGGCTGAACCCCCCCAGCTCCCTCAGCCGCTCCCCCAGGACTTGTTCTATGTCCAGAGAGCAAGAGAACAAGAAGTCAATGAACCCAGTGATAAATAAGTTAGACAGCATGAAAGGATACATGCTGCACGGCACCGCTGTTTGCCATCAGCAGTGGTGCTCCGGTCATATAGCCAGGGTTTCCACTTCGAGGCAGCGTATGAGGAAGAGTCCTGGTCTACAAAGAGGCCAAGGGAAGAGGGAAAGGAAGAGGAAAACACTAGCACCAATGAGATCCATTCACCTCAGAAGATCAAATTCATATTCTCAGATACGAAAATGTAACCCGATTTTCAAATGCCCCAGTATTATGCACTACTAAAACCTCCATTTTTGTTTCCAAATCCTCTTTTTTACCTGGTAAATTCATCTACAATCCAGGAAGTCAAAAACTCAATGTCAGTACCCTGAAATGTGATACTGCCAGGACTGTTCTTGAAACAACAAATTCCTAGTGCTCAGCATTTGTGTCCGAGATCAGTCTGGGCAATTCTAGGGATGATCTGCAGAAAACACCTGCCTTGGCCCTGACTGTGAGGGGCAGATTCCACTTCTAAATTGTTTTATGGGAGAGCCTCCGGGGATAACTTCAGCCATGTCATCCTGCACGCTTATCAAGCCCCGAGGTCACCACCTGCCCACTTTACACGGCCTCTATGGGACAAGGTTTATATGAACTTCAACACGCATTACTATGTCCAAAATTTCCACCCGCACCAAAGTTACTCTTTTTCCGGCTGCACAGGAAAAGTTACACAAGTCCCTGGAGTAACTTTAACAACTTGGTTCACAAACATTGAGCACCTCAGGTACAGCACAGCTCCAACCTTTTCCTTCACAAGACTATGGTGGTGACCCTGATCTCATCCTCTCCCCTCTTCCCTCACCCAAATCAAAACAGCAGCAAAGAGCCATCAGTCTCTCCAACGCTGGGCAGTGCGAGACGGCATGCTGGCACTGAGCCTGAATTTACCTACGAACGTGGTTTACTTGAGAGCAAAGCAGCATCCCCTCCTCCCTTCTGCCACCAGCTGTGTCCCAGGTTCTGGCGCCACCAGAGCACAGTGACACTGCTCTAATGGTTCCACGTCTCGCCTGTACCCAACGGAGTCACAAACTACAGACTACAACCATGGCAGGAGCCCAGGGAGGATGGGGGCACTGACCCAGAAGTGCAACGTGAAGTGCTGCTGCAGAGAGGATCCTGAGCTCCCAGAAATGTTGCTCACTTTGAAGCGGACAGAAACACTCCGAATCCCGTGTGTGCCACTGAATTCGATCTCATACACCACCTGCAGGTCCAGTCAGAGAAGAGGCAGAGGCAGGTAACAGGGCAGAGAGTTACGCTGGCGCTGAGCTGCCCAAAGGGAACGTGATGCAGATACCTCTGAAACAACGTTGTTGCATGTGTTGTCTCTCATGTGGGGAGCTCCAGGTGGGGCGACCGCTGTGACCTGGACCTGGGGACAGTAACCGGATCAACAACGAGCAGTTGTTTCAAAGGAGCATACCTTTCTTACCCCTTCCCACTGCTCTGCCATCCAAGTCCAGTTTCCCTTCCCGCTGTAGCTGTGATCTGTGGACACACTGCTCTGCTCTAGATGCCTTTTTTTCCCTAAGGGATCAAGCTACCTCCCTGGCTCCAGCCCTATCCATGCCCATTCTTTTCAAAGTACATCTTTCCTTATATCCCCAGTTTTCTTCTATAATGTCACGTTAGTCCAAAAAAGCCTCATCTTGGACACAGAACGTTCCCATTCTCCCAAGTTCCCAACCCATGGGCATTACTATGGATCCCTACAATTCCAGATATGTTTTATTTCAGAAGCAGAAATTATTTTCATTGGCAGTAGAGACTGACCTTCATGGACTGCACAACAGTGTCATTAACTGGGGCCTGGGAAAACAAACAAACCAACACACAACATCAAAAACTCAACCCTCTTCCTTGGTTTGCAAGTGCCTAAAGTCATGAAACCATCACTAAATACAGCCTCCCTGTTGACAGAAATTACTCTGTTTATTCCAGATGTGTAAAACTTGTCATCAATCTGGGATCCAGAAATCACAGACACAATCCCAGGAAGCGTTTTCAGAACACCAGAAGACAGATTTTATCCTTGGCCCTGCTGATGACCTGCAGAACGCAGACACTTTGAAGTACCAGCATGTTTGACCCGTGCCTGGAGCTCCTCCTTCTGGAACCAAGGAATTACTTCAGCTTCGGCCAGAAAAAATAAATTTTGCTCACAGTGACAAAGAAAGCCCCGAAAACGTGAGTTAAGTTTGATCAACAGAAGACTCTCTGCTATGGTTCTGTGGATTTAGATTTCAATTATAGGGTAAACTGAGTCATTAGCCTTACTAAGGTGTTAATATTTACACTGCCCTTTTATCTCGAAGGCAAGAGGCAGTACAGTCACGTTAACGTCCAGTCAGACCACCATGATGTCTGAAATTACTGTCAGGGTAAACACTGGAGAAATCGATATGGACTTAATCTGTGAATGCAAATAAAGCTCATGTTGGTAACTGGCCTTCAGTGCGACTGTCGGGACCACACGCTGTAAAACAAATTGCCATTCCCCACCAAGAACATGCACGGCTTGGCTGCTCAAGCTGATGGAACAGGGAGAAATGTCTTGACAAATAGCCTGTTTAAAATACAAGGGAGCTCAGGTAAACCATTAAAACTATGGAGTACCAACGAGGTACCTGTTAAATGCACTAAGAATTTGCCAATATCTTACTGGAAAGCAGTTTGGATTGAGGGATTGTCACTGATCATGGCATTTTAACAGTCAGGGACAAGAGGCCAGGTGAGCTCGAGCCCTGGGGTTAGGTGAAGCTGCAAGGGAAGGCAATGGAAGTCAAGCAAGCAAGATGCTGAGCAAAAGGGAGAAACAGGACATTCACCCTCAGCACACTGAAGTCACGGTAGTAGGAGGCAGCATCCAGGGCAGGGTCAGTAATGCAGCTCTTGCTCAGGTTGGCAAAAATCCGAGTACAGCTTGTGCTTTTACTGTCCAGGAAGCCTGAGTTAAGACATGACAACAGATAAACCAAAGCAAACCACCACACCAAATTCTTCCCCCTGTACTAACCAGCAGGATTTCCATCAACACAAAGTCCACTGGCTCCCATTTTTACTGGCTGTCTCAGCGTGCTCAGTACAGATGATGAATCGAAGTAGATTAGGATTGGATCACCAGCCTGAAAAGACAATGTGGAGAAGTCACAGACCAAGTGACTGTGCAATACTAAGGCCAAGTACAAGGTGATCACATCATCAGGACGCAGAGGCAAATTCATCTTTCTCCTTAGCGTACACCTACTTCGGTCTAAAGGGTTGTCCAAGCTTTTAAATACAAGAAAAGTAATCAGAAACTTTTTACAGAATAAGGAATGAAAAGCACAGAGAGATGCAATGGATTATAGGTAGAAAAATCCAAATACCAATCTGTTCTCATTAGAGCTCATGATGCAGCTTTACAGTGTATCTGCAAACCGCTGTGTTCTTTCAACTCACCCGGTAAAAGGCAGAGAACGACGGCTGGGCTTGTGACGGTGCTAAAAGTAATCAGAAACTTTTTACAGAATAAGGAATGAAAAGCACAGAGAGATGCAATGGATTATAGGTAGAAAAATCCAAATACCAATCTGTTCTCATTAGAGCTCATGATGCAGCTTTACAGTGTATCTGCAAACCGCTGTGTTCTTTCAACTCACCCGGTAAAAGGCAGAGAACGACGGCTGGGCTTGTGACGGTGCTAAGCAAATCAGATCCTTTGATATCCTGTGGCTGTTGTAAATAGTTCAGCTTTGCTAAAGGTTGAAGAGAAAAAAAAAAAATCCACCAATATCAAACTCCTAGAAGAGGCAGAGCTAAAACCAAGTAAATATTGTGCCAACATCTGACTGTACGATAGATAGGGCCTTCTACTAATTAATCCATAGTAACACTGACAACAGGCTGAGGTGAGCTATGAACAGGCTGATACCCCGAGTACTAGTTGGTATTGTTTCATGGGAAACCGGTGTTAATACAGAAATGTGACTGTGCAAAAAGCATGAAAACTGTCTAAGACAACTCCTAAAATGTGCTCAGATTTCTGTAAGATGCCCAGATCAGACACACATGACATTTTAATGATACTACCCATGCGCGAGTTCACTGAAAGCAACGTTAAACAGATTCAAAATAATGAATGTTGGTAAAACTCAGAGTATGAACAGGGAAAAGGCATCCTAAACCCCAGAGTTTCTGGTGGCACCTGATGCCCTCCTAATCCACTGGCACTCAGCATGGTTACAGTGTCACAGCGTGTTACCTGAGCACTGCTACAACACCAAGTCACAAAATAGCAAATTATTAAGGCCATATTATGCAGACTCACCCTAATGGGCTTTGAGCAACACATTTTCTAATACATCCAAATAAAACGTCTTAAAAGGTTCGAGGACTACAGAGCATGCCTACAACAGGGCGAGCGGCTCATTGATGCAGCAGCACCAGAAAGAGTTCAGGTATTGTATTGGAGGGGAAGAAAAAAACAGAATGAACATAAGCTCTCAGTGTAATTCTGCTGCTGGAGGGCAGAGCAGGTCCCCAGGCCTGCAGGCAGCTAGCAGAAATAAAAGCTTTTTTACATCTGGACCCAGCATTCCTCAACAAGTCAACAAAATCTTTTAAGGAGATGAAGGCTGAAGGAGTATTAAGCTCCTACAAGGTTCACAAAAACAGGTGCACGGAGCAGCTTTCTCATGATTCACCTGAGGGTACAGTCATGAGGCGGAACAAGAAAACATTGGTAGCTTTGCTATTCCCAGTCGTGGCTTTTCTTTGCAACACAGTTCTTGACATACTCTTCTATTATCAAAGCTGAACACGTGCCAGTGCAGACTGACAGCGTTGCATACTGCAAAATAGGCCCCAACATGGGAAGAAACGACATTCGGCAGCAAAAGTTGAGATACTCTAAGTGCCAAAGTTGTCAGAGGGAAGACAAATACAACCTGTTCATAGTGGTTTGCTCAAAAAGCACAGCACTTACTGAAGGCTATTTCACCTTGTAGAAAAGGCAAAAGGGAATTTCACACAATTTGATTTGTCCAAAACCAGACAAACTTAAAAAAAAAAAAGACAGTGCAAGGGCAGTTCTGGAAAAAACTGCAAAAGGAAGAAAGGGGCAGAGGGCACCAAGGACAGAGAAGATTGGGCATGATGAGCTACCAGGGTTAGAGGAATGCCAGAGTTGGGAATGGCTATCAGATGGGAACAGCAGTATGAAACAGCAGAAAAACAAAGCAATCGAAGGATGGCAAGAATCAGAAAAATAGGCAAGAAAGACAACTAGATGAAGCCACAGTTTGTTTACATTCCAGGAAAGACAGCTCAAACACAGTCAGGAAGGAGTGAGACAGGCATGGAAAGAGCCATTCATGCCAAGCAGAGGAATAAAAACCCTGCGTCTTTGAGAGTTTCTGTAAAGAAGTATAAAACTAAAACTGGAACACTACTCGGATGTTACTGGCCACCGGAATTCATCAGGTTTCAGAGCCTGTTCCCACTTGCCCTTTCCCAGGAGGCCTCCAGAGCAGGCTTGGTTATTATTTCTGGCAGTGGTAGCTCCTGTCACCACCCACCCTGGAAAGGCTTCATCCACGACCCGTCGATGAGAACACGTGTTTCTATACTGCCTTAGGGACGGCCAAGGGGAAGAAAACTGTCCCTACCAGAAAATTGTGCCATCCCTCAGATGATCCCAAATAAAGTCTTTCACAGATGTTCAACAACAAACCCAGAGAAGGGAAAGGATGGGTGAGCAGTGAATTCTGTTGTCCCCGGGTGCCCTACATCGAACGTACACAGGCAACCGCATGTGTAGGGCACGCTCTGTGGGCCTACACATCTCACAGATACAGGGCCCAAATCGTAAACGGTGGGGAAGATCTGGTGCCGTCAGTCTGGACAGAGATGATCCTTCCTTTGGATGAGATCACAAATTCAGAATCCCTCTAATCCTCCTTTTGTGATACTATGGGTGATGTGGGAAAACAATAAAATTTAGCTACTTCCAAGCTACAGGCTGGAATACCGAGGAGCCTGATGGCATTTTCAGCTGTGGTTAAACCCTCATCAAAATTCATCTTCACCTTGAGATTTACTGGAAATCGGAACGGGTGGAGTTCCAGCACTGCTACCGATCGTACTATGAGGCTGTTGGCATTTCTTTGCTCTTCCCTATATGCAAACCATGCAGGCAATGTCTGTGAAGAGCTGAAAGCAGGACTAGATAAGAGGAAGCTAACCCTGTTTTGAGTAGTTCTTGGAGCAGTTAACCTCCTGAGCCCCCTCCCAACCTCAAATACTCTACGATTTAGGTCAGCAGTAGACAGGACTGTGGGTCAAGACTCCCAGGGATAAAAGAATCAAAAGAAAACACGGTGAATGTTCAGATGTAAGGCCCCAGCAAACTGCAATGAATGCCAGAGTTGGACAACCACTCAGTCAAATGAGGTACAGTGTGGAAAGCAGAAAGAGAAGAAAGTGCTAATGGCACACCCTACAATAGTATATAATCACTAGAGAAAAATCACTGCCAGCAGAGAAGCAAGTAGGAAAATAAGCACACAAAATAAAACCAGCCAAGAGATGATAAGAAATCACTTTCTGAGAAGGATAGTAGTGGTGCATTTCAAACACCACCCCTTATTTGGTGTGTAAGTATAGCAAACTGAGGAAGGTCTCTCAGACACAAAAGCAGTTATCAAAGGTTGGTTTGTGTTTAGGCAGAGATCCTCCCTTTACACCGAGTTCAGTGATCTTCTGTTTGTCTGTCTTTGGTGATGGGACACCGAGTCACTATGGAACTCTAACAGCACAAATTAGGAGTAACAATTATAACGAGTAAGTTTGAAAAAGATTGTCTAAGCAGGGGCAATCGAGGAGTTAAACATGTGCAAAGAAAGGTTACTCACAGTCCTCCGGCTGCACGCAGAACAGAGCTTCTCCGCCAAGGACAGCAATGCGATCAGTGGGGTACGGGGTGTTGCTTCGAAACATCAGTGATTCTCTCACACACACTTGGCTCCCAGATCTGTGAAGGCAACATCTCCCCCCTCAGTGAACTGTAGCAGCTGTTCTTGTGTCGTTTCCTATTTTACAGTACTAAATGTCGACAACAGAATGCCGTTACTTTTCATCGCATTACACAAGTTATTGTACAATGCGCACTGACAGTCGGCTCTAGAAATCCCGTCCCATCACTGCAGTAACCCTGTGGACACTCTCCATCGGTATGTTTAGAGATGACTCTGAAATTCCCGGGAACGAGAAGTGCCAGAGGAACTCCCGTGTCTGTGCTGCAGCTCCTCTCAGCCTGCCCCAGAGCTGCCGTCTGGGCCTCACCCACAGGCCGGACCCCAGAGAGCGAGATCCTCCCCCGCTGGCAGCACTCCGTCCTCTGCC